TCCTATGAGGCATAACAGGGAGGTCGATAAAGGGCTTTCAGGTTGGTGTGGGAGTGTGCAGACTAACGGCTGAGCCGACAAACAGCTGATCAGCTGTTTGTCAGCTCAACGCGGCAGCCATTTAAATTTAAATGAAGCCGCAATTATTTAAATCATGGCTTCATTTCCCTTTGCCAATCAGCCTAATCTATATGGCTCCATCGATGGAGCCATGTAGTTTACACACCCTCAGTCTTCCAGGGTTTGAATAAGTGGGTCTCATGAAGACACACTAATTTAAACTGAGAGGGAATCTCCACTCAATGCCAGTAGTCCTGCTTCCACAAGGAGTAAGGGAAGTCGAAGGCAGAGTGTTCTCCCTTTGACTTTCTGCTGTGTGGACAGCGCCAAAATTCAAGTTAAGGTACTTCAACTTCAGCTACACAATTAAGGTAGCTGAAGTTGTGTATCTTAATTCAACCTTATCCCATAGTATAGACATACCCTAAGTTACTGCAGAAAATTCTTTCCTGGGTGTTTGGCTGGTGGATGTAACCCACATGGCATTCAATTAGACCCTGAGCATATTCAGGTTTTGGAAAGAACTTTTCCAGAGGGTAAATTTGCAGAGATCCTGGTTTGATTGTTTGTTTTGGTTTCTTTGCCTAACTCTGCAGTGTGGGAGACAGGGCACTTATAGGTTTAAAGGAATGTAAATGATGAATTCTCTGTGACCTGAAGCTTTTAAATCATAATTTGATGACTTCATTAACAACCAGAGGTGAAGGGTCTGTTACAGGAATGAGCAGGCAAGGTTCTGTGGCCCATCTGACCTTAAAGTCTACGGGTATGTGTAGATTACATACCTCTGCCGACAGAGGCATGTAAATTAGACTACCCGACATAGTCAATGAAACGGGGATTTAAATATCCCCTGCTTCATTAAAATAAAAATGGCCGCCGCGCTGTGCTGGCTCAGCTGATTGTCAAGATGCGGATCAGTCGACAAGAAACTCCTTTGTCGACCACTCCCTTATGCCTCGTGAAATGAGGTTTACAGGAGCAGTCGACAAAGGTGGGTCTTGACTGCTGTGCTGTGCCGATGATCAGCTGAGCCGGCACAGTGCGGTGGCCATTTTTATTTTAATGACTCAGGGGATATTTAAATCCCCTCTTCCTTGACTATGTCGGCAGAGGCATGTAGTCTAGACATACCCTATGAGTTTACAAAGAACAAACTTTGCCAGACTCAATTGCTTTTCTGATGAAACTATAATTACAGTGAATGAAGAGCAGTAGACACATCAGACCTGGGTTTTAATCAGACATTTGATTCTGTAGCTCGCAAGGGGCTACCTTACGATATGCCTGCTTCTGCCCTGAGCAGGGGGCAATGCAGAGTCCAATTGGCCCAAGGGATGTCTCAGAGAAACATGTTCTCCACATTCTCTTACATTCTGCTCCGTATGTATGGAGAGTAGGGGGTGCAGTGAGTTGCTTGGATTAGAATGGAGCAGATTGCTTCTTGCCTCCAACATGCCTTGCTGGAGAGGGGTCCAGAAAGAGAGGCCTGATCCCTGCTTCCTTCTGTCCCTTATTTCTGTATCCTGTAGGAATGAGCAGTAGCACAGGGCAGGGCTGGGGTGAAAAGATCAAAACTTTGAAAAAATCTGGGGGGAAAATTGATGAATTTTTCTGGAACCTCTTCCAATGATTTAAACATCTCTAAAACTGGCTGAATTGTCCATATTTCGATGACCTTTTTTTAAAAAATCACAGAAAAAAAAATAATTCTCCCCCAGCATGTCCTCACTCTTTTTGCAAGGAGCTCTAGTGCAGGAATCATTGGGTCTGTTCTTGTGTGTGGCACTCATACAGCTGAGCAAAGAGGGGGACTCTTTTGTCCTCACTCCTGTATCCATGGGTAGCCACATATTTCTGGACCTAATTTAATCCAGGTTGATTTAGCTATCTGAAGGACTGAAACAAAAGATGATGAGAAGCAGCACTGGACCAAGTTGGGAGAGGATTCTGATGAGGATGATGATGGATGTTAGCTTCCGTTTTATTTAAAGCCTTCAGGAATTAGCAGCAAAAGAAAGCAATGGAAGGATAAATTGAAAACACCACTGAGATGTGACCAATAGTACAAAGGGACTTGGTGAAGGTTTAATTTGCTTAGGCTATGTCTACACAGCAGAGTCTATTCCGCATCTTTAAATGCACCTATTATTTTGAAATATATTTCAAAATAATGGGAGTGCTGTTCTGGCATCCCTGTAATCCTCGTTCCACGAGGGGTAAGGAATTTGTTGGAATAGTGCTTTATTTCAAAATAACTTTGAAATAAGCTATGCAGTTTGCATAAGATAAGGGTGCTGTGTAGACTCTGGGAACTCCTGACGCACAAAGAGACAACACCTAAACACAGACTCAAGGTGCAAATATGTGACATTGAATTCTGAACAACCAGTGGAAAACAATCTGAAGCAAATCTACAAAGTGGGCTGAGAAACCTGGGATATGGTAAGAGATCTAGCAGTGAGAGTGGACAGCAAATTAGAGAGAAGTCTGCAAAGCACCATGACAGCCAAAAATGCCAATGCGATTCTAAGCGGCATTCACAGAGACAGCACAGCAAGGAGCAGAGAAGGAATATCCCCTCTCAGTATAACTCTGGTATGACTGGAGTTGGAACGTACGAGGCACTGGGATACAGAGTTTGGATCTAGACACCTTATTATGAATAGAAAGATATTGGCAAATTAGAAGGTGGTGAGAGAAATTCAACAGGTATTACCAGAGGGCTGGAGTAACTGAGACATGAAGGAAGAGTATTAAAGGAGCTAAACATGCATTGTTTGGCTAAGCAAGTGCCATGGGGTAACATGATCATAATTTACATCTGAATGGAGAAATATGTAGTATTACAGTGGGATATAAATAAGAAGAATGGAAGGAAATTAAGGAAGGGAAAAGTTAGGATGAATATTAAGAAAACTTTCTTGAGTGTGAGCCATGCTTAGCCATGGGATCACCTCCCTAGTCAATCACTTGGCTTGGACCTTATGCTAGATTGTCTAGTATTGGAGTCTCTACTAGCTGTAGTCAGGTGATATCTGGCTAAGGAGAGCGACAAGGGGCAGTGCCTGCAGGGAGTGATTCTGTGTAGTGCAAAGCCACTTCCTCCCTGCCAGGCAGAGCTCATGGGCTGGATCCGACCCATAGCTTGCCTTGATCGGGCTCACGAGGCTCAGGGCTCCCCCCACCTCTGCTGCAGGGCAGGGCGACAGAGCCTCGTGGGCCTCCTCAAGGCAAACTGCAGGCTGGCCGTAGGCTACCCACCCCTGATGTATGGTATTTATTGCATTTTTTTACTTTGAAGGTACGGTATGTGATCTTCTGAGATTTAGTTTTTCTAAAATTAATAGATTCATAAATTTTTAATTAGAAGTGACCCACCTGACCATTTAGACTGACCTCCTGCATAATACATGACAAAAAACCTCACCCAATAATTCCTGCATCTTGCCCATAACTTGCCCATAACTCTAGCATCTCTCTTAGATACACGTCTAATGCTGATTTAAAGATGTCAATTGATGGAGCAGCCACTAAATCCTCAAGTAAGTTATCACTGTTGTTAATTACCATCCCCTCTTAAAGTTTTCAGTAGCTCATCACATATTTTAACTTCTAATCCTTGCATAATCATTTTGTTTCTCTTCTCTGTATTTGCTCTAGTTTTTCCCAAATCCCACCTCACGTGTGGGAACCGAGTCTGCAAACAATATCACACCTGCTCTGTGTCTGGTATTTTACCGCCATCATTTTGCAGATGATTCTCTCGGCATATACATTTGAGAAATACTTTGCTCTTCAGTGTGTGGCATTGCACATTATGCTCATAATGGTTATATTCAGGTTCCAGGTGTGACTAGTTTACGACAAGATAAATTATTAATAGAAGTCTAAATAAAAGCTCAGTTCACTGTTATGCAGTCTAACTGGTCAATAGATGGCTTCTAATGATCTTTTAATATTTTTACTGATGTGCTTATAGCCATCTATTGTTCCTGTCTAGGACATGATTATAATGTCGAGTAATCTTTTATTAATCCTTTAAAAATCATTTGTAAATTAAAGTGTGACTCTCATGGCAGTATGTAATTTCCTATCTACTGTTATCATCTATTTACAACCATAGGTCTCTCTGAACTCACTTGCCAGTCTCCAGATACAAATTAGAATGTGGCTATCTGGATAGTTTTTTCCCTGTACCTAGTTGTTGGACTTAATAATAAACACTCACATTCACAGATGGCAGAGCAGATGAAGTGATTTTTTTCTTGAGCCCATTTTTGCTTCTTGTCCTTTTTTCTCCCTCATTTCACTTTTTGCCTAGATAATTTTTAGTTCTCTAATCTAGGGACAGTGTCTTAGATATAGTTGTATAGTGCCCAGTACAATGGGGTTCTGAGTATGCAAGCCTAATACAATAGGCAATAATAGTCATCCTTTAAATTAATCCCACAGTATAATTGAAATCAGTTTATGATCCAGTTGTCTAAATTTGCCTCTCATTTACACTTGTGCAGCCCTTTTGATTTCGCTTGGTATATTTAGTACTTCCTAGAAGATGAAGAAGGTGGCACATAAAAGTAAATCAATAGAAATGATCCCAAGCAGAGCAGACAGCATGTCAGGGAAATGTAGAAACTTCCTCTACATGCACTGTTCAGTAGGGATCATAGGTCAGGAGGCTTTTTTTAGAAGAGGTGATGCTGCCCCTTTAAAATAAGCTCAGAGGGAGCTTGTTCTGATCTCTGATTGGAGGAGCTGAGGCCTGTCTTCAGAAATCAGAGTAATCCGGGGTGATTTTATCTCACTCCTCTTCCCTAAATCTGATGCTGTTGCTGCTTTGCATGGGGATTAAAGGGCCGGCAGTGGATTATGTAGATGCTGTTGCTGCAAACCTCCCTCAAGTCTCTTTGATTCCTGCAGAGGACCTAAGCTACACAGGAGCCCCTGGTCACCTTGGCAACCATGGGGTGGCTTCTCCTGAGTTTTCCCTCTCAGTAACTACAGCTTATGTTTTGCAAACTTTTACCTGCAGCTGTGGGTGGGAGACTGTGGGGTCCCACTGGAGCTTTCCCCCCTTTGGACAGAGACGGTGCAGGGAGATGGCACAGGGTGGCAGCAGCATGCAGGCTTAAGTGTCCCCAGGACTCTGCTCCCTGACCCCACTCCCCAGCAGGACGCCATGCTGGGGCCTGCCTGGACAATGCTGGGACCTCCGTAGAGTGGCAAACGTGGCTGCGAATCTCTATGTCTATTCAACTGGTCCTGTTGCTGATGGGTTTTGCCTGGAGGATGGTGCCAGGAGCCATCCTGTGGCTTTTACTCTCACTCAGCGGCCTCCTGCCCTCCACCAAGTCCCAGACAAAGATACCACTGGAAACGTAAGTGTTTCCCCCATGCATCATCTTCCTTCACCTGTATGCTCCTCTGCTCTCTGAGACCCTCTGCCCATCGGTACTTCACTCTTCGGTGCCCCTCTTCCCCTCTGTCATTCATCATCTCCTTTCTCTTAGTATTCCTGTGTCCCATCCTGCAACCTGCATCAGTCCTTCCCCTTCAAGAGACACCTGCCTCCCCACCTTTCAGAGATGTCATTTGTCTAGGGGACCACAGAGCTTTAATTATTCTGAGATTCTTTTATTGGCATGAAATATTTCTTTGCCCTACAAGCAAAATCTCACTTCACCACCAATCCCAAGAAACCGTGGGAATCATTCCCATGGACCTGAGCTCACAGACAGGGAAAGTGTTGTTCTTAAAGTATACAGAAATGCCTAGTGCGCTGGGACTCAGAACACCTCCATTTAATTCTCAGCTCTGCCATGGGCCTGCTCACTGGCTGTGGGCGAGTCGAGTCCCATCCCATGCCTCAGTTTCCTCATCAGTAAATTGGGGGTCATGATACTGACCCCGTTTGTGTAGTGCTTTGATATCTGAAAATAAAAAGTACTTTGTAAGAGCTAGCCTTTATTTATTGTAGTCTCTAGACTATTAGATCCAAACTTTCTGTTGTAAGACTTAATGTTCCTAGTAAGTAAAACTCTGGTCATCTGAAGAAGTGGGCTGTGCCCACAAAAGCTTATGATTCCATCTGCATGTTTTGTTAGCATCTAAAGTGCTACCAGACCATTTGTTGTTTTTTAAGTTTATCCTGTACAGACTAACTCGGCTACCCCCTGAATATTCCTAGTACTTCTATATATTACTGGTACTATCCTCTTACACTGGCTCTTGTCGATATTATTCCAATGGCTTACACAGAAATTACTGGCTCTTGTCAATATTATTCCAGTGGCTTACACAGAAATTACTATTATGCACATACATATAGTATATGTAGGTACTATACCCGCACATACATATTTTAGTCTATGGAGGCATGCTGGTCACATCACCTCTCTGTGTTTTCTTTCCTTATTTGTAAAATGGGTATTATGACCCTAACCCTCCTAAATAAAATCCTGTGAAATCCGCAACTGAAAAGCCCGTTAAAAGTGCAAAGCCTCTATACTATTATTATACAGTGTGTGCGCTGTGTTTGTATACAAGTTATCATAGATGTATTTATAAATGGACTTTTCACACACAGGTTTTATGTGTGTGATGTACCTTTGTGCATGCGTGTGTTTATGCATGCACTCTAAGGGGAAGGAGAATGTGTGTATCTCTCCTCAGAGTCATGGATAGCTAGCAAGGGGCTTACTGACACTATTCTAGAAAAGGTCTCAGAGGGTAGTCGTGTTAATCTGTAACTTTAAAAACAATGAGCAGTCCCGTGTCACCTTGGAGAATAACACATTTATTAGGTCATAAGATTTCATGGGTAAAACCTACTTCATCCAATGAGTTAGAATAGAGAATCCACAGAATCCAGACTATATATAATAGCAAAAGCAGTTACCTGTCAATTGTAGGACCAGTGTTAATGACACTAATTGAGTCAGGCTGGATGTGTCCCGTTCATAGGTTTTGACATGTAAATGCAAATATCAAAGGCAGAGGAAATTGCCTTTGTAGTGGGTTAACCAGAAGCCCAAATTGATAGTGTTGAATTTGTCATTGATTCCAGTTCAGATGTCTCTCTCTGTAATTGGATGATAAAATTCCATTGTAGAAGAAAGGCTATCCTTAAATCTATCATTGAGGCTGTGTCTACACTGGGCCACTTATTCCGGAATATCAGCCGCTTTTCCGGAATAAGCTGCAAGCTGTCTACACTGGCCCTTGAATTTCCGGAAAAGCAACGATGCTCTACTGTACAAAATCAGCCGCTATTCCAGAAAAATTATTCTGCTCCCGCTCGGGCATAAGTCCTTATTCCGGAACACTGTTCCGGAAAAGGGCCAGTGTAGACAGCCCAGAAGTCTTTTCCGGAAAAGCACGTCTACAAAGGGTTTTTCCGGAAAAGCAGCCTGCCAATGTAGACGCTCCTTTTCCGGGAAAACTGAAAATGGAATAGTATTCCGTTTTAAGCATTTCCGGAAATTCATGCCAGTGTAGACACAGCCTGAGTGTCCTAGGAGGTTTAAAATGTTTCCCTTTATGTTTATGTGTGTTACTATTCCTGATGTCTGATTTGTGTCCATTTATCCTTTGTCACAGAGACTGTCTGGTTTCACTGATATATCTATGGCAGAGGGGCAAACTGAGCCCCTAATGATGTGGCTTATGTGGTTAGGGCCTCTTATGGTGTTACTTAGGGTACATCTAGACCACATCTGTTTGTCAGAAAAAGCTATGCAAAATGTGCTCCACATTTTGCGTAGCTTTTTCTTATACTTTTGTTGGAAGAGGCTTTTCTGACATTTGTCGCATCTAGACGGGGCCAAATGTTGGAAAAAACCCTCTTTAAAAGCCCCCTTCCTCCTTGTAGAACGAGGAATACAGGGGCTTCCGAAAAAGCGTGTTTGCTCTTCCGCAAATAAAAAAGCAGAAGAGCAAATGCGTTCCCTGGATGTGGCGGAGTATTTTCGGGATACCAGAGGTATCCCAAAACCTCCCCTCCCTCCCCCGCAGTCTAGCCATACCCTTATATAGATACGTGGCCAGAATGGGAAATGGGGTTTGTTGCAGGGGTAGGTTCCTGGGTGAGGGTATCTGTGGTGTTGTGTGTGGCTGCTGCTAAGTATTTGCTTAAGGTTGGGGGGCTGTCTGTAGGCAAGGATTGGCCTGTCTCCCAAGGTCTTAGAGAGTGAGAGATCATTTTGCAGGAAAGTTGTAGATTGTCAATGATGCGCTGGAGGGATTTAAGCTCAGGGCGGTAGGTGATGACCAGTGGTGTTCTGTTATTTTCCATGTTGGGCCAGTCTTGAAGTAGGTGTCTTCTGGTTAGTGGTCTGACTCTGTCAGTCTGTTTCCTCACTTCCCTAGGTTTTAAGTTTTAAGAACGCCCGATAATGATCTTGTTGGTGAGTCCAGCATTGGCGACAAATCTTTCTGTGGCAAGATGCCATGATTCTAACTATCTGAATATATAGAGTTAATAATGTTGGACCTTGGTAAGCTGATCTAAGCAACTTAACTACTTTAAGGTTAAAAATATATTGGTAACAGTGTGTGTAGATTTTTTTTTTATGCTGCAGTTTGTCTGAAAGAGAAGAGATTTGGATATTTCTGCATTATTAAGAGAGCTTGGCTCATTGAAGAGAGAACACACTGACCAGCAAGTGTGTCTCAGGTTGCTGTTTTGAGGGCTGGCAACTCTGCTTCTCCTTCAGTGGCTGAAAGAAATGCCATTGGGCTAGAGAAACAGTTACAGAAACTAACCTATTCAAGAAAGTGTACATTTCTTCCTGAGAGCAAGAGGAGCGTTTTGATTTCAAACACCTCAAGTTTGAAATAGAATTTCAAATAGACACACAAAGTTTCCATCAGTGGAATCTTTCATGTATTTACCAAGACATTCACTGATAGCCACTCTTGGGGGTTTAACCCTGGGCATCTCATGAAACTTTGAGATGCACTTTATCCTGCCTGTGCCATTAAATCTCCTTCCAGCTTTCAGCAGTGTTGGTTATTGGGGTTTTGGAGATGTATGCAGAGGTCATAGAGAAGCACTTCTCGCCACCTTTTTGCCTTCCTAAACCAGTGGTTTTCAAACTTTATTTCTCATGACCCAGTAGAAAAAAAATATTGAGGCCTGTGACCCAACATAATGTGTCTAGATTGTGGTCTCCAGTTGCGGGGCTGAGGATGAGAGCTTTGGGATGTAGGAAGAGACTCTGGCTTTGACGGGGGTCAGAGCTGGGGCAGGAGGGACTTTCCTTGAGCAACGCCCAGCCAGCAGTACAGCACTGGGGTTAAAGCAAGTATCCTGCCTCTCCTGGCACAGCAGGCCATGCGGGGCCCCAGAAGCCAGCAGCAGGTTCCCAGCCAATGGGAGTGCAAAGCTAGTGCTCAGGGCAGGGACAGTGCACAGAGCCCCTGTGCACATTCCCCCACACAGCTGGCCCTGCTGCCAGCTGCTTCTGGGGTTCAGTACAGTCTGTGGTGGCCAGGACATACAGCTAGCCTCTCATAGCACCTCCACCAGTCACCTGATCACCCTGCAGCTATGAGACCCAATGCCTGACATTCCCCAGCCCAGTACTGGGTCACGAGCTGTGGTTTGAAAACCACTGCCCTAAACCTCTACTTCTGTGAAATCTTTTTTTGCTTCGTTGTGAATCTGCCTTTGATTTTATACCAACCTGTGCATCTTATTATGTGATTCTATTGATGAGGTAGCCCAAGGGCCAGCTCTACAAATTCAGCCCAAAAGAACCTTGCAAGGAAATAAGCTGTTCATTCGCCTGCGTGCACGTGACATAGAAACAAATTGGCATGTCATACTTTGAGACTGATTAGAATATAAACAGCTTGATGCCTCCAGCTGTAAATTTTGCATGCACAGAAATATCTTTTTTAGCCTTGAAACTGTTCATGTGAAAAAGACTTTGAAAGAGAAGTCAGCTGAGCCTTGTGGATTTCTATGGCACCTAAGCTATTCATCATGAGTGGCACAAGCTCTTCCTCTCTGATGTTTTCTAGTGCTCAATACCTTTGAAAGGATTACAGGCCGGCATTCTGCAGCCCAGTCCTTTCCCAAGGCAGTTGCTTATAACTCACAGTGCCTCACTACCAAGCAAACACCAGCACAGTTTTGCACAACTAATAACAAATTCCTGTAAAAGAAATAAACTCAAGACTAAAAGGAAATTCTCCCTGCAGCAAAACCATACTGAGGGCAAATTCATCCCTGAAGTTTTAACTCCACTCAGAGGCGTAGCGAGGGTGTTATGCGCCTGGGGGCAAAGACAAAATTTGCACGCCTTCCCCCCTCGTGGCCGCCGTGCACCCTGGCGCATGGCTGACCCCAACCCTGTACTGCGTCTTTCCCCACCCCCTTCAATTTGGGCCCGGGCCCCCGCACGCACTAACCTGCCGTCAGAGATGGAGGAGGGTCAGGCTGCGGGCAGAGAGGTGGGCAGGAGGCTCCAGTCAGTGGCGGCCAGTGGAGGAGTAGCAGGCAAGCCAAGGGATGACAGGGGGAATGGAGGGGGATTAAATTGGCGCCCCCCCCCAGCACCATGCTGGGGGCAACTCCCCACCCCAATTCCCCCGCGCTACACCACTGACTGATGAATTTGCCACATTGACTGAAATACAGAGGAACCTCTCTGAAATGAATATTCAATAGGAGAATCAACTAGCCAGTGGCACCAAATAAGAAGTCAATAAAAAGGCACCTGATAGATTAATAGATCCATTACATGACGACATTCTGTGTGCCCAGAACCAAAATATTTTAATGCACCTAGTCCTCCAGCAGCCCCCATATCCTTGACCTACGTGAAAAATAATTTTCCACTGGCTTTCTCAGTGCCCTTCTTAGGTCCCCATTTATTTATGGCCTCCATTTGCCTCCAGGAGCCCCTCTTTTACATTGCGCTTTTCCGTCTCTATATGCCGTCAGTGGCCTGACCCATGTCTCTCTTTTAATTGTCCCTAATGTGTTTTCTCATGCATTCCCATGGCTCTTCTCTTCTTTCTGGCCTTCTATTTGTCACCCTGTAGTGCTCCATTTCTGACCTTGTGACTCCCCCTTTCTGTTCCCAGGCTTCCGCCTAACTCCCTGGCCAGCACTGTCCTTCTCTTTGTATGCAAGACATGAGACCCAAGGTGTATCCTCTCCAGTGCCACAAGTGCTACATGAAAGTAGCTTCGAGAAAGCCAGCAGAGAGGCAGCCAGCAGGTTTAGGGAGGCAGCTGTTGAGTGGTCAATAGAGACCAGCTGTGCTCTGAACACTGCTGTGCTACAACAGCCAGCCCATTACCACAGTCTCAGGGTATTGGCTGGGAATCTGCAGCTGTATTTCCAACCTTCAAATATCATGGGACTGGCTTAAAAATATCACACTTTTTTTTTCCAAATAATAATATTGAGTTATTTTCTTATGTTTACCAGTGATGGCTCTTTTAGGGTTCACATTTTCAATCTTTTCTCTCGCAACCATGAAACATTCGAGTCTTCTCTTTTCAGTGGAAGCTCTGAGATGCTCATGCAAGCATATGATTCCAGAGCCATGTCTTTTAGAAAACAAAACAACAAATATCACATGACTTGATACAATCAAGAGAGCTGGCATCACAGCTTGCTTGGGATGGTTGGGTAACCTCCCAGAAACCCTTTGTATGGATTTTCTATCACCATCATGTGGGTGGGTGAGCAGCTTTTGTGACTGTTGGTAAATTTGCATGCCAGCGGTAAATGGCTTTGTAGAGACAAGTTGTGAAATGAGCTCTTCAGGGGGCTGTGCGTTAAATATTGAGATGAGAGTAATCAGATCTGATGCTGATCAGGGTATAAGCTAATCACCACAAGGGTCTGGAAGGGATTCCTCCCCATCTCCATGCATTGCACAAAAGGCCAAAATCTTTTTTCTTTCTCTGACCAGAACCAGATTACTGGGCTTGTCAGAACCAGGGTCTGAGCTGGGGAAATAAATCCGGTCTTCATTGTAAATTCAAATATCCTGTATTGCTTTCAGTGTATATAAAAACAAGATGCAGAAACCAATAAACTGACCATAAAAGCCAGAAATACTGAGTTGCTTCTATTAACTCAGTAGCAGCAGGATTGCACCCAGGCTTTGTCTACACCAATGTTTCTTAAACTGTGTTCCGCAGCACGAGGCAGTTGGAGGTGTGCCGTGAAGAACAACAGAGTTCAAAATGGCCACCCTTAAAGAGGCAGGCAACTTTTGCTTTTTCTTTTTTTTTTTCTTTTTGGCTCAATAACTTTCCCCCGCCCCTTCCCCCTTGGTGTTCCTTAGAAAAAAAAAGTTGTTTGGTATTCCTTTGTCTTAAAAAGTTTAAGAAACACTGATCTACACTGCCTCTCTCTTGCAGAAAAACAAATGTAAATGAAGGTAAGCATGGAATATCTCCGCCCTTCATTTGCATAATTAATGAGGCTCTGTTTTTTTGCGCAAGAGGCTTTTGTGCAAAAAGGAACCGTCTACACAGCTCCTTTTTGTGCAAAAAACCCCTCTTGCACAAGAGCCGTTCTTCCATATTTTTTTCAGGAAGAACGGCTCTTGCACAAGAGGGGAGTTTTGCGCAAAAAGGAGCCATGTAGACAGCTTCTTGCACAAAAAGCTTCTTGCACAAAAATGGAGCCTCATTAATTATGCAAATGAAGCATGGTGATATTCCATGCTTAGCTTCATTTGCCTTTGTTTTTCTGTAAGAGAGGGGCAGTGTAGACATAACCCCAGTGATTAAAAACTGGGAGTCTCAGTTCCTGATTTACCATGCCATTGCTCTAGTTGTTTTATGCTGGCATAATGCCATTGATTTTGATTGCATTGTATTGGCATTGCAAAAAAAAGAAGCAGGCCCTCTAGGTTTAAAGTTTTCCTAGAACTGGGAGGAATCCCACTGAAAAGTATAGATAAGAATCTGTACTGCAGAAGTAACTGGCCTGTTCGGATAAGTGGAGACAATCATGTACTCTATAAAGAAGAAGATGCCTCCTAAATGAACCGCTGTGAAAGGAACTGAGTGTAGGTGGAACATCCTAACATGATTCACCTTACAGATTTCTAATTATGTATTCTGACTATTACAGCAGCCAATTATGCTAATTTGGGGAGGAAGCAATATCTTTATGCTCAGACTGCCTGTCACCACCCTTATGAGCTCTGCGTGTATTGCTTTAGTCTATTCTTTATAGGACGGCATGCATGTGCGTGGTGCTTGACAGAGAGATAAGATGTAACGCAGATTCTGCTCCCAAGATTCATCCATGCCAGTCCAACATACCTTCACTGAAAGCCATTGCATGCCTCTGGCTTCACACTGGAATAATTGAGATAATAGCCTGGTTCTTTGTCGTTGCCCCAAAGAGTGCATGATCTAAGGGCCAAATCCCGAGATCCCCTTACCCTGTTTATAACTCCAATTTTACTTGGTCTTTATTCAACCAAACTCCTGTCAGAGTCAATAGTGACTGAGTAAGAACCCCAAAAGCTGACACCATAAACAAACAGACTCATGGAAATGGAAGAGCAGAGTGGGCCATGGAGATGATGGTTTCCTGCTACTGTTGTGTGTCTCACCAGCCGTTCACAAAGATAACACGTTATCACTGTTTCTACGGTGTCGTCATACAGGTGCTTGATAATTTGCATGCATAGGGAGACCAAGGAAGTGATATGGGCCTGCATGACTGTTGCCCTTTCATGCAGCTTATCTACCTCAAGTGCTAACACTGTTGGTTTTCCTCTTTTTCCTCTTTAGGGTGAAGTCCTGGGCAGACGCCTTTGGTGGAGAGATGTATTCCATCATGACAAAGTATTCAGGCTCTCTCCTCTTACAGAAGGTAGGCCATACCTGCAAGGAGCTGCTTTTCGATTTCCATCTTCTGTGTGTGTGTGTCTCTCTGTCTCTCTCGCTCCCCCCTTTACCCTTGCCCCCTCCTGGGGATCCATTGTAGAGGGGCAACACCAGGAACTCTTCACTAACTTTCAAGACCATCTGGATTCATTTCTCAGTTCTTGTCCTCTAATCTCCAGGTGGACTTCGCCCCTCAGTCACTAGCCACATCTGACACAGAATTGCCCCCCTGGCTTTTCGTACTGTCCAGGGGCATTGTTCATCTTTCCCCTCTGACCTCGTATCCACCCACTTCCCTTCTTCTAATGACCATCTCCACTCATCTCTCTTTTTAACGCCAAACCCACTTACTCCCCCACCTGTTCACTTTACTCCAATGTTGCCTTCCTCTTTGTTCCCTGGGCCTTCCCAACTGGGGCTGTCTTGTTTATTTGTACTTTCTCATCTGTCTTCCTCCCACACTTCCACTGAGTCACTTCCCTCTCTTTAAATCTTGCTATAAAATCTGTTTTTCCACTTTGGTTTTGGAATGGTTGTTGCGATGCCAGTTCTGAAAGCAGCTGTGTACACCCTTTAGAGTCGCACACCCCGGCTTGCCCATCATGCACAGTCCTTTGCTTTATAAGCCTGCAACTTCAGCACGGGAATAGCAGCCTCCACACCCTACACTTCTTGAAATGCCAGCTGCTAAGAACACACTGACTGGCAACCACTGGCATAGGCATCTCCTGTGACTTCAATGAGTATGGCCTGTTTGCACAAGTGGAGGATTTAGCCCATTATATTTGATTTGCTTGGTCCATGAGCTTACATAGGAAATGCTAGAAACGGAACGTGCACAGCAAAAATCTGCCTCTAGTTTTCACTACAATTAATTGGTTATGAACCTGCTAGTCATCTGAAATAACGAGCTTGCTTTGGTCAGGCCAGCTCCTTTTTTGTTTTACATGATCCTTGGAGTGATAGAGTTCTGATTGCAGAAGGCTAATTTGAAGTATGCATGTGAGAGTCTGCATGGGAAGTAGTATATTTTATATGGAACAGGCCATTGCAAGAGCTGGATGGTTAGAGCCTTGCAAATCCATGGATATCCACTTTATATCCACGGGTATTCGCAGCCGCAGATGTAGATGCAGCTCGTTTTGGTGGACGCAGATTCAAATATTGTGTCCGTGAAGTGTTCGAGATATGGTGGTAGTGGGGGGGGGAGGGATGTCCATCGAAACTGCAGGGAGACAGAGCTCTCACCAGAACCCTGGAAGAGAGGCAATTCTAAGAAAGAATCACCCCCATTCTTCATGTATTCTCACCCATTGTTACTGTGCATGCAGTTGGGCAGGCTTTAGTATGGAGAGTGGGGAGCACTAGGCCTACCTGCTGATCACTGCCATTCCCCCTGGCTCCCATTGGATCAGTTCAGATCATCCTTCTGCGAAAATCAGCCTCTTCCCACATGGCAACACACTCTGCTGTAGGGGTGGCCAACCCATTTAACAAAGAGAGCCGAAACAGCGGTGGAAAAACAGCAAAGAGCCGCACCAGAATTGTCAAGCAAAAAAAAAAGAGAAGGCTGCCCTTTTAAGAAACAAGTTTAGGCTTTTTGGCCATATCAGGCTCCTGTCGACGGCCGCCATCTTGGGCTCCATTTTGAATCACCGCCACAGTGAGCACGGGGGAGCCAGGCACAGGGGATGGCAGAGGCTGTTTCGGGGGAGGGTGCAAGAGTGGTTTTGCGAGCTGCACTTTTGGAGGAGAAGAGCCGCGGGTTGGCCACCCCTGCTCTACTAGCTGCCAAGGCTTAATTTGCTTGCATGGCCTCTGTAAATAGCACTTGGTGGGTGGCCTTTGAAAGTGTTTAGCGCTAGCCTGTCCCTGCACCCAGTGAATGGTAAATTGGAGAGCAGGGCTCAGCCAGAGCTGAGTATTGTTGAAAATCACCCTCAAGTGGCTGCCTGAGCCTGCTGGTGGAATTGGTCTCCCTGTGTTCTGATTCCAGGCAAGAGGTGCCCCTAGTGGTATCATTCTCTTCACCCAATCTCCCGAAGGATTCTGCCCCAATTATGCCCCAGCAAAAAGTACGTTTCCAGGAGTGGGGAGAAGTGAGAATAGTTTCTATAGCAATGTACAGTTACAGTAAAAGCTGTAACAAAAAACAGGACTATGTAGCACTTTAAAGACTAACAAGATGGTTTATTAGGTGATGAGCTTTCGTGGGCCAGACCCACTTCCTCTTTCGTCTGGCCCACGAAATCTCATCACCTAATAAATCATCTTGTTAGTCTTTACAGTGCTACATAGTCCTGTTTTTTGTTTCAGCTACACCAGACTAACACGGCTACATATCTAGTAAAAGCTGTATTATCCAGCCCTGTACCAACCCGCAAGCTCTACAGACCGACGTTTCTGATCAATACAGAAAGTCCGGTTGATAGGCCATTTGGTGCAGGGCTCCTGGCTTCTTTTTCTGTCTCAGCCACTGGCCTGCTGGGTGACCTTAGACAAGTCATTTCACCTCTCTGTGTCTCTATTTAGACTTTTAAGCTCCTTGGGAGAGTAGCAGTACTAAGCCTAGCACTGCGGAGCTTCTAGATGCTATTTCTAGTAATAGCAGTGACCATGTTCAGAATCCAGCAAAATCTTACAGGAGACCAGAGACATCTCAGAGACAAGAGAAGACTGATTTCTGACTGAAAAGCAATTTGATTCTGATCAGCAAATGAAGCTCAGGATTCACAGAGTAGAGATGGCACCTGATAGAGGAGCAACCTCTCATTGAATAGTCTCACTTCACCTGCCCCAAAGATGCTGACCAGTGCACTGATGCAGAGAAAGAGGTATTTGCTCCTTTCTTGTGCACAACAGAGACAGTCTGCACTGCATGCAGATGGACTGTGCTTTGTTATTCTTGACACCAGAGCAGAAACCTGGCTCCGTAGTGTCTCGGGAAGAACGCCACTCACTGAGTCACCGTTGTCACTTCCTGTGGGAGCTGGGTTTGATTTCCCAGCCAACACAGCCCTGCGTACGCTCCTCATCTCTGAGTAATCTCCCCAAGCCCACTTCTCATCCAGGTCAGACATTCCTAGAGAAATACACATGCAGCTCAAAAAAGTCAGAATTACCTCTCCCCCTGACTTCCCTTCAAATTCTATTTATTTTTGTCTCTTGTCTTGGGGTTTCCCTCTCTCTCCCTGCTGTGCCTATTTCCCCAGGTCCTTCTTCACTCTCTGTCCTGTCAGGAAACTCTAACTCAAACACCATCCATAAGCACCTTAAAGCAGATAAGCTTGAAGGACTTCAGTCTGCAGGCATGACACATATAGCTGTGGAAAAAGAGAGGTTTCATGGGGCTACAATCAGGTCTCCTCCTAATGCAGGAATGTGAGCAAAGCTCTTAAGATAGCTGAAACTTGTTTTGAAAGAGGCCAGACCTACAGGCAGCTTTGATGTAATTCAGCACATGCACACACACGTGTGCACCCACTCTCAAGTTAAGGTCAAGCTTGGGGTTTGAATGCACAGAAGTCAGATCATTCAAATACAAGGGTTTCCAAAGCAATAGTGGCATATTTGAGCTATGTGGCACATTTCACACAGGAAATATGTTGGCTTGCTGCTACATATTCAGCATTATAGGTACGTGGGGCACTTTGCAGACAAATACAAGGACAGCTCTCTTCCCCAATGGACTTACAAGACAGAGGCCAAATCCTGGAGTTCTTTTCTCAGTGATTCCTCACTCCTCACTTAGACAAAACTCTGAAGTTAAGGAGAGTTTTTCTTGTGTAAGGATATAGTAAAAACCTGAGTAATAACAGTAAGGACTTCAGAATTTGACCGTGCAATTAGGAGCTTGATAGTCTTACAATGTAACTAAATTCTTGTTGCTACTAGCACGATAATTTTTTAATTTCCTGTTTTTTCTACATTTCAATCTCCCATTTCATTAATTAACATTTAACATGAGTTTCACTAACAGTTTTTGCTTGCTTTTGTTGTTTTAAAGAATATTATCAAGGTATTCCCATTGCAACCCACACACCGCTGCTTTCCATCTTACCCGATACCGCCAACCTGTATCCATCCCAAGAGGTCCAATAAATCCTTAGGCTGTGTTAGAATTATGATGACACTGAGAAGCAACATGCAGTCCCATTCCTCCGCAAGCAGTGAGCCAAGAACCACCAGGGACATGGACATGGACATGGACATGGACACGGCAAATATTGCATGGTCACTAAAGGATGTTTAAAAATTGCTTTGCTCTGGTCTGCTGAAATCTCTGTTGCAATGCACTGACTCTTTGTCTGGGTACAGTCACAAAGCATACTTGTTCTTTCAGTTTAGGGGTTCCTTTTCTGTAAGCCCAATTTTGAAGACTTAAATAGGACTGAAATGGTTCACAGGCCTTTTGTGTTCAGAGAGGTGAATTTCATACAAATTGCTTTCAACCAAGAGAGAAATTACTTTAAATGAGTCATTTCTTTTCTTAAGTAAATGCAAGTAAAAATGTGTTAATTGTGCAATAAATAATACTAACTCCCGATAACTTCTAATAATTTGATAAAAAGGGCTGGTTCATTCCTCCCCACTGGAAAATCCATGGGAGGAGAAAGCAAAGCAGAAAGCCCAGAGAACTGCATGAGGATGACAAAGTACATTTGAAGGGCAGAAAAAAATCAGAACTTGGTTTTGCAATGGCTTGTTGAGTTTGCCGGCTGTATCCTTAGGAATGCCAACTTTCTGAACAAAACAAAACACCCTTGCTCCATCCCACTCAATCCATCTCCTCTCACTCCATTGCTTGCTATCCTCCACCCACCCTCCCTCACTCACTCACACTGGATTAGGAAGGGTCCCTTTTCAATTGGGTGCTCAGTTGATAACTGGACACATGATTGTCCTATATATAATCTACCAGTGGCACTCTGTTATACAACTGCCACATGACCACTGTGGAGAATTTCAGTGACCATAAAACCCAGCCACATCACGGTAAACTTGGTTGACCATGCTCTGAAGGACACATGGATCAGGATTTGACTCTAAGTAACTTAATTACTTACTATTGTTTTTACTGAATAAAAAGAGGTCACTGAGGGTGACTTCACTGGTCCAGGATTTCACACTCACTGTATTTAGTTAATTAGAAATTGTAAAATGAATATGTTTCCTAGAACCAATTCCTGCTTTCCTTTGTGGGTAAACCCCCTCTTGGCTTCAGCAGAAGATAAGGCTTGAGTAAGAAGATTACTAAATATGTGCAGAATGGACAGAACAGACCAATTAAATAATGAATGTTAAGTGATTTTGCTGGGTGAGGGTGGAATGTCTTTCTCCGACTTAAGCAGTGGCACTGTCAATGAGTTATACAATGCTAAGTACTTAGTGGACTAAATTTCATGGAGGTTGGAGCAGGAACATATATTTAGCAATGTAGGTCACTTCGCAGACACAGCAAAGGATACAGAACTCTTGGTCCTCAGCCTCCCCCACTTGCACTGAAGGAGAATCCCAATTAGTTGTCATTGCTGTTTTAAAGGCGTGATGTAGCTTACAAACCTAGACAATTTTTCTGTTTTGTGATTTGTATACAAGCAATTTATTGAGGGTTTTCTTCTGCTGGTGGTGGGGGGTTGTTTTTTTTTTTTTGGTGTTTTTGACTGTTATTGAAAAATACTTGCTGAATGATTTCAGCAAGTGAATTTGGATTTATATTTGATAAACAAGATTCTAAATGTAATCTGCATTGGTTAGTTTTGATTGGTCACAGAAGTCTACCTCAACATTTAGAGTGCACTTATCACTATGGTAACTGATCATAATACCTGAGGTCACATGGCATTAATTGTGTTCCCGAATCCCTACTCTTAGGATGTGAATATTCTTGCAGCAAATAATCCCTGGAGGTCCTGTTAAAATTCATGTTTTCATCAACATTCCAGCCACTAAAATGATTTGCTAAAATATTTCATGGAAAATGAAGACAAGGATACATGAACACAGTCCCAATGACTTCAGTGATAATGATGTGCAATATTCTCCCCACCCCAGAGAATTGTAAGGGTTGAGCTGTGCACACTATGCATGTCTGGGCTCTTAACATACATGGTGACTGGTAAACTCACGTGTCCCTGGTTACTGATATCCTTTTAACTTCTAATTGCTGATGTGTCAGAGACATGATCAAAATAATTGACAGGCATGAAAAGTGCCGTTATTACCATGCTAGAGCTAAAAGGCTGTGGGGCAACACTCACTGGTCCATGCTGTGCAACCCCAGTTTATCCACTGATGATGGTGTTTTCTTTGCACAGAGCATGCATGCAAGTGCTAATATAGTTTTCCCAGATGACTTGTGCTCAGCAAGAGATTACTCTGATCTCACAGGGGAGGGGCCTGATTAAATCCCCCTCCCCTGAGTGGCAGAGATCAGCTTCTCTGCAGATGAAACTATGACACAGATAAATGGGACAGACTGGCAGCGGCTGGCATGCATCCCGTGGTCTCGTCATCATCCAGGGCCTTCCGTTTGTGAGCTGTACGTCTCCTGTTGGTAGTGTTGCTGTGCTAACCTTGGCAATCAGCCCCTCATCTTCTTTTCCCCTCCCCCGCCCAGTCTGCTAACCTTGGCAATCAGCCCCTCATCTTCTTTTCCCCTCCCCTGCCCAGTCCAGCAGCAGCAGCAGCATGGATGCGAGGGCTGGAGTTTTTAATCCAGTAAAGCCTCGCTCTGTTAATCATGACAGAACTAGCAGCATCCACATGTGCCGGCCACAAGCTGGGTATGATTCTATTTCTGTCCAACCTCTTTAGCCCTTTCCCATCCTCCAGGCATTTCAGACTCCACATGTGCCCGGCAGCCTTCTCTATTGATGAGTGAGCTTGTCTAGCAATAGAAGCCCTAGTTGCTTATCCCAAAGAAATTCACACTCCTTCCCTATCTTCCATGCCCACCTGCACTCATTTTATACTGTGCTGCGGAGTGAGCCTCAGGCGAGAGCATTGATGTGCTGCCAATATTTTAAGGCAAAACCTTCTCCTTGTAGCCTGTTTATAAATCTTATGCATGTGGAGGGAGAGAAGGAGATGCAAATTCTGCAAAGAGTGAAGCTAAGGGACTAAAGGAATCTATTAATTCGTGTTCCCTGCTTACATCAAAACACTCGTCACCATCTCCACTAGTGGGAGAAGGTCGCTGTCCTTCTGACAGAGGTTAATTACGTTTTTCTTTTTGCAGCTGGGTCCTCTTCCTGCTTCCATCTCATCTGTTCAGCTTTTATTGTTATTTGTAAAGGGAAGACAAAAGGACTATACCACATCTAACATCGATACTGCAGGGGCAATTTAGATGCACAGAATATAATTGTCCAGTTTGGAATTTGGACAGAATACTGTGGGGTGGATACTGTTTTGTATCAGATGTTGGCTGGAACAACTGTAAAGTTGTCAGGACTTTGTCTCACCCAGTGGAGGGCATCCCCAGCTCTCACGCTCATTAACTCTGTGGCAGGGAATTGCTCGGGAAGAAACATGCCGCCAAGTCAATCACTAGCACTATTCACTGCACCTCCTGGGTTTGGCTTGGAGATTTCCCATAGCAGTGCTGATAAGATCCTATCCTCTATGGCTTGTGAGAGTTGACAAGAGCTCAGCTCAAGATGATATGGTGGCAGGCATGCGTGGTACATATACAGTTGTCACTGAGACAGACACAGACAGACACACACAGAGGCAGGTTTTCAAAACTTGGCTCCATTTTTGCACAGCTTGCGGGTGTGAATAACCACAGGCGCATTTTTTACACAGATGATCATTTGCTGGTGCAGCTGAGGTAACTCAGACCACCATAAGCAAGTGATGTCACCAGCAAATCGTTACTTAGGCCTACAGATCTAAATGAACTGCCTTATGCACTCATTATTTGCACGGGTCCAACTGTAGAGAAGAAAAGGAAGCCATAGAAAAGGCCAGATGAAAATCCTTTTAGATGCATCTCTCCTCACTAATTAGAATGCCCAGCTCATGTAATTGATTCATGACTTCCCTAGTGAAACTTTTATTCAGTGAGGATTTCTTTCCTTTTTTTTGAGCAGAAGTACAAAGATGTGGAGCCCACTCTGAAGATCAAGGAGGTGGATGGCTTGGAGTTGGTGAAGAAGTTCTCAGAGGAGATGGAAAGCATGCTGCGCAGAAAAGTAGAAGCTGTTGAGGTACACACTTCAGAACTGTATGGGCCAGTCCCTTTCTGCCAGCCACAAAGGTAGAGACACTGAAGGCCGAATGTTTAAAGGCATTTAGGCTAGGAACCTAAAAACTTAACCGGCTACCTGGGAAGCATTAGGCTACCCAGAATGCTTACATGGTAACTGGTTAACCTGATTGCTGGCCACATGGAGCTATCTGTCAGGAACCAGGTCAGGGTGGCAGGCAGAGCCACATGGCAGGCAGGCGGGACCCCATCCGTGGGCCTGCTGCAGGGGCCTCAGTGGGGGCAGGCAAGACCTGGTCCAGGCTGCACCATGGTAGCCCCAGATACCAGCACTGTCCCCAGCGGCCCTGGACCTGGCCGCACCACAGCCAGATTGCACAGTCACTCCAGCTGGTGATGGCCCATGGGCCAGGCATTTGAAACCTCTGTTGTAGCCACTAGCAGAAAAATACTGGTATAGAAACAGAGGAGTTGCAGCCTCTGCATCGGCCAAGTGTGAAAAATGAAAGAAGTGATTCAGCTAGCTTAGAAATGAATATGAGGAAATGAACATTCAGCCAACAGATCCAGAGCTAACTCTCCAGAAGTAGAGAGACAACTGCAGTGGGCAGCAGTGCACGCTGGTTATTGAAGAGCATAGCCTGTTTAAACATTGTAAGGCCCAGTGTGGCATACTGTGACTAATGAAGCTGAGCAATACCTGTGTGCTATGGGTTTGGCTCTGGCAGCTGTCTGAGAATGTGCACTGTGCGCGTTAGTTGCTCTCTGATTGGGTGAGGTTCTTTGACCTGTGTTATATAGGGAAATCAAGCTAGAATCTTCATCATAATGGTCCCTTCTAGTCTTAATAGCTATGAAACTATTGTGTGCCAGTGTATGTACCCTAATTAATAGAAGTGCAGATTCAAAGTCACAGAGTCCTGGCTCCTTAAAAACTATTTGGTGTGAAAAAGTAAAGATGGGCCAAACTGACAATGGTTTTAGGGTTTGGTGGGGGGGGGGTTGGTTTTTTGTTGTTGTTGTTGTTTTTAAATCTGGATCTAAAGGAAAGTTTGGGTATGTTCAGATCCAGGGTTTTGGGTTGACTCATCAGAGTGCTAGGGACATTCCATGAAGTTTAGACTCTGATCCAAACTTTCCCCAAGTTTGGATTGCTTTATTAAAGCCCATATTACAGCGACAGCCTATTGTGCAATGTAAGAGTGCAACTACACTGCACCGTAGGTTGAAATAATTTGAGCTGCGCAAATTGCGTATCTTATTTCAATGTTATTTCAAAATAAGTGCTATTCCAAAATGTCCCTTGCTCCTTGCCGAATGAGGTTTACAGGGTTGTCGGAACAATGAGCCCCTTATATTTTGAAATAACGGGCGCACTTGATAGCACTGCAGTGTAGATGTAGCCTAAATGTGGCTACATTTGAGCAGGAGTCCATCTTAATCTAAACAAATGATCAATTGAGGTAATGGAATGTGAGATTTGATCATGCAAATGATTATTTTCACTTCCATAGCTGGCAAAGGTTACAAATGGTCATAACATTTCCCATCCCATTTAAAAAGCCACTCATCACACTGTTTACATCAGTTCCCTTTATGTCAGCAATAGGCTGAAGCCCTGCTGACTCTGGTTTGTCTTTTTCACAGAGCGCCAATGAAAGTGGAATAAAATCTTCTGCTGTTTTTTGGAATGAAAGTCTGTCTCCACAAATATGCTCAGTGCCATGTATTCATTGTTTGGGGGGGAATAAAGCTTTAGGAATGAGTAGCTGCGCATGCGCTCTCCAGATTTGAAACCTGCAGCATAAAACTTTAGTTCCTTTATTGGTTTCCTCTGTTGTGCCGAACTAGATCTGAAGTCTGAATCACTGGGGTTTTCAGTATTGTGTGAACAATTCAAACTTCTGAAAAGACTTGTCTAGAGTTTCCCACTCATCCTCCCTTTGTGTGTGTTTGCATTAGAGGCTGGTGGAAGCAGCAGAAGATGCAGATCTGAACCACGAATTCAACTCCTCACTGGTGGTACGTTCATATCCTTCAGTGACAAAGCCCTGATTCATGTGACAGGGAGCCTCAGCGGCATGGGCTGCAGATCCCAAGAGAGCTAGTAATCTAAGCATCTTATTTCTGGGCATGTTGGTGATCTCGCCTTTAGAGCACCCCACAGCACACTATTAACTCACTCCTGTCTCACTAGGAGTCATCCTGATTAAATAAGTGACTCCCATGGCAGGTGCAGGGAAGGATGGCAGCTCCTCACCCTGCCACAGCGGAGTAAGCTCATGCTGAAGAAAACCCTTAATATTCTTGCTGCACATGCTGGTGGTAGCCGGGGACATTGCGGAAAGAGGTCCTGAATCCTTCACTTCATACACCCTGGCACCCCCAGCTGTGGCTAATTCATGGGATACCCTTAAAGGTGATCTCCAAAGGGGGATCTCTTGTGAGCTGTGTCATCCTGGGATAAAGGGGTGTTTTCTGATCAGCAGGAGAGGAAGTGGAGTTTTAACAGGGGGACTAAGAATGATGGATAAGTGGAAATTCTCTTCTTCCTCCTGCTTTGGTCTATTCCACCATAAACCTCACTTCTTATCATTCAGCTGTCAAAACCTGGTGGGGCTGGTGAGTTGAAATGATCACAGGTTTGGAAATGACTGCCAAATAAAATTGATGAATTGGCCATTTTCAGTTTGACTGGACCTAGCTGGATACATTTGTCAAAGAGGGTGGGAAGCAGGGATGCAAAATCCCAGTTAATCAATTAACTAGTTAAATGTTATGTTTAACCGGTTAGCCAATTAAACAGGAGTGGGCAGAGGGGCCACTGGTGCAGCATCCCTTCTGCGGCAGGAGCTGCTCTGGCCAGGACGGGTCCACTGCAGATAGGGGCTGCTCTGGCCAGCCTGGAATGCCCCTGCCTTCTATGAGCTGGGCCAGGCCCATCACAGGCTGCAGCTACTCCAGCCGGGCTGGAGTGCCACCAACCCCCATTCACGGTGGGCCTTGTGGGGCTGGTGCAGCCTGCTGCCTGCAGAAGAGAGGGGCTGCTCCAGCCTGCTGGTTAACCATTCACATCCCTAGTAGTGAGAAGAATGAAAGAGTGAGGCTTCCTCTACACTGCATGCTTCTTTCAGTGGTGTGTAGCATATCTACCCCCCAAGCACAGATCTCAGTAGCAGTGTAGATGGTCAGGCATGGCTTGGACCAGTAGAATATAGACACACCTGAAAGGTATGATCATGTACCCAAGTACATGTTTCTCTACTCATCCAAGCCAGGCCTTTCTGTGCAATTTTTAGCATCAGGAAAATATTTCAGTGTCAGGGGAAATCTCTGGCAGCAAGGAAAGGTTCCAGAAGTGGGGAAAGACTGTGCAGACTCTCTGTTACTGGAGCTTTTCATCACTGCGGAGAAGGATCTGGGAGTGGGGAAGGCACCGGCAGGAGGGAGGCAAGGGGAAAAGCAGAGAGGTTTTTTTCCCCTGGCAGCACCGATAATGAACTCTCTTGCTGTTTTTCCCCTTCGCTGTGCCTCATTTCCCCTCATCAACAGTTTGATTACTACAACTCTCTCTTGATTAACGAGAAGGATGAGAATGATAATTACGTGGAGCTTGGAGACGAATTCATTCTGGAGCCAAACGAGCATTTCAATAATCTGCTGGTGAACACGACATACAGTGATGTGCAACTCCCAACCAATGTCTACAACAAAGGTAATAAGGCTCTTCCCTCTGACTTCCCAACCCTGAAAAGGTAGCCTGGAAACTACTGTGGAAGAGTAGTATACTAGATATAGGAGGTCAACAAGTGAAAGACAGAGAATAAGGGTTACGCTGTGACTTTAAGGCACTGTCCTGGGGCACGTCTAGATTTGCTTTCGCTTTCGAAAGAAGATAAGCAATTTTGCGCCAAATTTGCATATCTTCTTTCCAAAGTGAAAGCAAGTCTAGACATGCCCCTGGTGGCAGCAGGGAGCTCTGGGAGGTGTCATGCTTCCTGCAATTGTGGTTGGTTATTGTCCTTCCCACCTTGCACGTCCACATATCTGCCAGTCACAATCTGGCCTTAAATCAGGAGCTGGCCTATCTCTATTGGAGTTGGTAGGCAGGAGCTTCGTAGCCCTCACAGGCTGAGGCTCTTGATCACAATTATCCTAAAGTTGCTGCCCTCTCTTCTATTGAGATAGCAGGCTGCCCCCAGCCACTGACTCTGCACTTGCCAGACCACCAGTCCTTTTCCTTGTGTAGCTTTTGGCAGGAAATTCTCCCTTTCTTCTGTCTCATGTTGGGCTTCTCTCCTATGACTGTCTGTATGCTAGTTTGGTGCAGCTACAGGAGCAAAGAGAGGCAGGGGCTGGTGATTACCTCTTTAGCCATTACATCATTCCACAACCAATGTAGAGAGAGAATTTTTCTCCCACAAATTTATAAATGAATTTCATACTGAGCTGAGAGCCTGAAGGACTTTAATCTGGGGCACAAAAGACCCATGTATTCCATAGACACACATTCCTTTGGAGTGTCTAATTCAACTACTGACCACACTCAGCCTGCGTAACCTATAAAACCACAACTTTAGCTACTTAAACTAGGTCATCTATTATCATCCAAGCAGCCAAGTTTCTAGCCCAGTGATACCCAGACAGAGACTTGGAAGCTGCAAGTGTCCCTTTAATGTGTCTCCATCCTATGGCGCTTTGCAGCACATGATGTTAAAACTCTGTGACTTAATTATTAACCAAATATAAGTTATTAACCAGTCGTGGTGCTTGTGCTACGTTACTAACCAATTGTAGTTTGGTAAAACAATAGTTGGTCAGTCATATTGCTGTGAGAATAATATACATTCAGTGGCACAAGGAATTCACACCACTGTGACTCCTTTGGGTTATGTTGATCAGAAGTTTGGCTCTTGAATCACTGAGTTCTGAGTGTCACTGCTCTAGCCCTTCACTTACAAACACACATAATTCCCATGATTTATTTGGCCCTTTTAAAGCCTTGCCTCATTATTTGCGATGCCATTTAATTTAGAAATTATACACACCACTGCAAAGTTTTATTATAGAAAGAGGGTTTTGATCAAAGCTTCCCTTAGCCTATTGCTGCTGCTCTGTTTGGTCATCTCTGATGCTGGAATAGATACCATGACAACCTATCTCATGTCAGCCTCATGTCTCCTGTAAATCTTCAGAGTTATACAGGCGTGAGGTCAGGGTTGAGGGATCAGAAGTCAGGCCTTGAGTGTGAAGTGGAGACAGGGGAATGGAATGAAAAAACAGTTGAGGGATCAGAAGTCAGGCCTTGAGTGTGAAGTGAAGACAGAGGAATGGAATGAAAAAATGGGAGAAATGTAAAAAAAAATAGAGTGATAGGAGAAAGACGAAGTGGTTTTAAATCTAAAAGCTTGTCCACACTGGGTAATTGAATCATGCTAGCACATGATTGGGGGAGTCCTGATAACTAGTATGCAGGGTAAAACACTCACTATAAGCAGGGAATGAAATGCTTAACATTGTTTCACTGGTTGGGCTACCACAGCTTGCTGCTATGATGCTATAACACAACAGTCCCTGTCTATCCTGAGGGCTATATTGTATGTAACCTTGCCTTAATTACTATAACCCCTCAGGATCCTGTTCTAATTTGACATAATCACCCAGGGTAGACAAACCCCAAAAGAAGAAGGGAGATGATGTGCGACCAAGCAGAGGGAATTTGTGTTTGCTTGTGGTGACTTATATTCCAGGATTTCCATGAACAGTGCAGACAATTCCTTTTCCAACGTTTGCTCAATAGGATAGTTGTCATCCTGTAGGGAGCGGCTATAGTGAGGAATACATGCTGTAATTGTATTCAGACCATTCAGAATCATTGTACGGATGGGTGCCACACACTCTGGATCTTCTCTTTGTTCTCACAACTCTCCTCTCTACTGTGCTCCCTGCCCCTCTCCCCCTTGAAACCTTCCTTCCCGTCTACCTATGTTTCCTGGCTCCGTCTGCTCCCTGCCCCTCTCCCCCTTGAAAACTTTCTTCCCTTCTACCCATGTTTCCTGGCTCCGCCCTTCCCCACAGACCCTGCCATACTGAATGGAGTTTACATGTCAGAAGCCTTGAATCCTATTTTTGTGGACAATTTCCAGAGAGACCCAACACTGACATGGCAATACTTTGGCAGCTCCACAGGATTCTTCAGACTTTATCCAGGTAAAGATGCTCAGACATTCTCCGCCCTTTCTCTGAAAATCAGGTCAAAACATTGAATATGCCAGGGAAGGGAGTATATTTATACAGAATCTATTCTGGGAACCCTGGAGATAGCGGGATCTCTGCCGTCCATTGTAGAATAGTATGAATTACACTTGTAAGTATGGATTACGCTTGGGTCTGGGGTTGGATTCCCCAAAAGGGAGGCAATTTGGAAATAACCAACAATCACAGGTTGCCTGAGCTGATTGAACTGGGATGGTGCTTACAAAAATCACATTTCGCTAAAAGAGTAACACTGGTGGCAGTAGAGGACTCTCATTCTCTAGCCACTAGCTAGCATGGTGGATGGGATGCACAGCCAGGGTGCTGCACCTGTGATATCAAAAATTTTCTGCTTGCCTGTATGGTCTTCAGGTGGATTGTCTGCTTAGTGCCATCTGCCCTCACAAAACCATGACAAAGCCATTGGTACTCAATCCGGGCCACACACCTATCCCTCCTACTTTTTAAGGTCCTCAGCTCTTCTGCAAGAAAAAAGATACAATGTTGCCAACCTCAAGAGGTCACATATCACTCGGACTCCCAAAAACCAGGAGATTGGCTCCAATATTTTTTCCAAAAAAAGATTATATTGTGGTTTTGGTCTGCCTTTTGATTTTTTTTAAACTCCCCGCTCCCATCACTACCAGGTCAAGGGCAGGAGCTCTCATTCCCACATCTGCCCAGCCTTTAATTTTGCCCTGGTCCAGTCCTGCTCTACTCATTGTGGGATTCTTCATTCCCTCTCCCAGGCCTGCAGGGTGGACTCTGCTACAGAATCCTCTCTCCCCCTTTCACACTGATAGGAGACAGTGAGCTACCCTGAACCCAGCCAAATTCATGTCACTCACCAAAAAAAATCACAAGAGTCAGCAACGCTGCAGATATTGGAAAAGGCTGCGCACTAATGGCATAAAGGTGGCAGTAAATGAACCCACCCCCTCCCTGAGTTTTAAACATCTCTGGGAGGTTCAGACCTAGCCCAGTAAAAATCAATCACTACATTCAGGGTGATATGTGAAGGCAAGAAATTAGAATTAGGAAAGCTTTGTGTGTGTATTTAACTGCTGCTAAAACTGCTGGAGCTCTGCTAATGGCTGTGGGAGTCACACGACTCTGTAAATGAAAACAGGGAGGTCCCAGAGCTAAGGGGTATTTGAAAGTCTGGTGCCTGCAGGCACGGAGGCCTGTTTTCCTGAGTACTTAAACCACTGAGTTCTTCCTTTGCTGCTCTTTCAGGGATAAAGTGGATGCCAGATGAGAATGGAGTCATCTCCTTTGACTGCAGGAATCGAGGCTGGTGAGAGATTAGGCCCTATCACCTTTTTCTGTCTTTCTTGCTCTCTTTTTCTCCTCTTCTTTTGGAACTTTGATTTACTCTTGTCCTTAGTTTTGTCCCCCTCCTTCCTAGTGTGGGTTACAGAGATCTGACTGGAGCGTGCAGTGACATCGCAATCTAGTGTCTCCAGTGAGGAGTCTAATCCCAGAGCCTTTCTTGCACACTGCTTTTGGGAGAGAAAGTGGATAGAGAACCCAGTGTTTATACGATCACATTGTATCATACTGGGTTAGAGAGTGATGTCCATCCCCCTCTAACATCCCTTTCTCCATCTTGGGGTCTGATGTCTCATATGGACTCACCATCAGTCACTCCCTGCTTTATCCCTCCCCCCTTGCTTTATGAGACTGCAGCTAATGGGATGGGACTGTACAGAGTCCATCAATGCCACTCTTTCAATCAGGCATCTCAGGAGTCACTGTTCCCTCTGTCAGCTATGTCTGAGCGTAGCACCTCTGCAGCACTTCCAGCCTTTGCCAGCCCAATAAATAAGAAGCCAGGTCCAGGGGGAGCACTACTGTTAAACAGCAGGACAGCCCAGTCATGTCTCCATGAGCGGTATGTGCTGCATGAGATTAAGGGTACATTCCCTAGCCTGCCATTGCCAGGCAGCTGCTCCGGACATGTCTCTTATCTTGGGTCTAGAATCAAGGGCCTGATGTAGCCAATGATAGGCCCAGAATTCAGCCTTCCCTGATGCTTCTGTTGCACCAGCTTCTCTTCTCTCCCAAACCTTTAAAGGTACATCCAGGCAGCCACTTCACCCAAGGACATTGTAATCGTGGTGGACATCAGTGGAAGCATGAAGGGTCTGCGGATGACCATCGCCAAACACACCATCATCACTATTTTGGACACTTTGGGGGAAAATGACTTTGTCAATATTATTGCAGTAAGTGTATCCCAGTCCAAATATAAAACAATTCATCCTGTCAATCCTCCCTGTCTTTCACCTCCACTAGCAAACCATTTGCAATAATATCTACTAAATAATATCTACTAAAGTCCCAGAGTTAGATGGAAATGGGAAATAAAACCAAATCAGCTATGATAAGTCAGCTATGACAAATCAGCTCCGGCAAGTACTTTGGCAAGTGACCAGCAGGGTAGATGCTAATTCCTCATTCACCCTGTGTTTGACAGTCAGACCTTGTTTGTTCCTTTGCCTAATTTTATTCATTTTCTTATTGAGACAAAACTTTAGAAACTAGGCAAGATCACAGTCTGCAACTATTTCACCTTGATCAGTGACCCTTTCATATTTCACAGACTAAACCCAGAGAGACTGAGGCAGTACCAGGATGGAGGCACTTAGTGCTTCAGAAAGTGATGGTGTTATTTTGATTTATAGAATCACAGAATCATAAACCAGGAAGGGACCTTGAAAGATCATCAAGTCCAGTCCCGTGCCTTCACAGCAAGACCAACCACCATCTAGATCATCCATGATAGATGTGTATCTAACTTGCCCTTAAATATCTCCAATAATGAAGATTCCACAACCTCCCTAGATTGAGTCAGTAATACTCCAGCCTGGTGCTAAGAGACATTGTGCTTCTGATGCTGCCATCTTTTGTGTGAGATGTATACACAAAATCCTGGCTGCTTATGGTCAAGAAAGAGAGCACTTTTCTGAAGAGTAGTGATACTAACTTTTTTATATCCTGACTGGATCACTATAATACAGTAATCTCTGTGCTGATTTCCCATTGAACAGAATCCAGTGTAAGGTCACTCTCCTAATTTTAAAAACCCTTTCATGGAATTAGGCCTAACAAGCCAAAAGATCCTTTCTCATCCTTTGTGACCATGGCCTCCCATGACACCACTGGAACAATAAGACCATTGACCAATAGACTGGTGGCTTGTGACCACAGAAGAGAGAACTAGTGCAGGACCAACACTGTGGAACTCAACGCCAGAGAAGAAGAATTGCTAACCACTTCTCTTTCACAAGTAAAAGCAAACCCCACCTTCCTGCCCAAGATTTCAATAATTGTGCCCTTATTCCTACAGATTTATGGGAACAAAACACCAAAATTTCTAACCCTGACTCCTACTGGTAAAGAAGGAAGTGAGAGCTCATTGCTATCTGTTTAGGTTGCTACGCTATTCCATTGATGGGAGCCACATAAGTACCTGGAGGGGTAGATAGAGAAGTGAGCAGTGTTGATTCAGGAACAGAGGGAAATCATACCATGCTCAGCGATGGGGGGGTGTTATATGTTAGTTTTTTTAATTTTAATATGTATCCCCTTGTGTGTATTGTAATTGAGAATTTAATTGCTGATGTAAGTTAATCTATTGCACAGCTATTAGAGCAGTGCTGGCCAACCTGGGGCCCGAAGGCTGTATGCAGCCCGGTGGGGTTCTATGTGTGGCCCACAAGATATTTTGTTTACTCTTGCCCATGCACAGAGTTGCCAGATTTTGCTGGTTTTTGTCTCCGTAGTTTTTTTTCCTACCGGTATTACAAACGTGACATGCATTTAAAGCAAGAGCACGTGAAATGAGGTGTGTGCTGATTGCACACAACCCTGTGAGAGCCATATGCTCTCTCTGCATCTAATCAAAGCACTGCTACAATTCAATTGGCAAACCCCACAAATTCTAGGTATTCAAGCGCAGTTAGTAAAACTGCCCTCTCCCAGGAGATCATCTTCGTTATAACAATCTTGCAGCCCACTGGGATGAAGAAAGGGCATTCAGGTGGCCTACTCACTAGTCTAGGTTGCCCCTCACTGTGCTAGAGTGAAAAGACTGCGGGAACTCTGTTTATAAAATAGTATTAATCCTGCACCTATGGGTGTGCCTGGATTTAATGTGGCAACCTGCTACAATATATTTAATGCATTAATTAGGCAGGATTTTAAAAACTGTTATGTGTCTAGAGCACAAAATTTGCACAATAAAATTCTAAATATCTAAATAAAACAGTATGACTGATACCGATGCTGTTTCTATCCCTATAAATGTCCTCTTACAAATCTTACTTTCAAGAGATTCCTTTTACCACTAACTTGTTTTTTAATTTTCTCTTTTCAGTACAATGATTATGTTCATTATGTTGAACCCTGTTTTAAGGGCATCCTGGTCCAAGCAGACAGAGATAACAGAGAGGTGAGTGACAGACTGAGTGGTGTTAGGACAGCTCTCTTATTCTAGGTGGGTTAGTGGGACTGGGATGCTTTGGTAGGAAATTCCAAGGACAGGAAGCAACTGATGTCCCCAAAACAGGTGGATTTTCATTTCTGAAACCAAGATTCACTGGCTGCTCCGCATCTCCCTGGATACGCAAAGCAGCTGTAAATTCAGTGCAACTGGCTGGTTAAATCGAGTTTATAACAGATTTGTGTCTCTGGAGCAGCTCAACATAGGCAGAACATCCCAGTCAATCTTTCCCGTCCCTGTCACAAGAAACAAAAGCACATAACTCTCAAGAGCACTCTGTCTGCTATTTCTAAAAGCTCCGACCTTCCGTCCACATTCTTGGCCCTCAGAAAGGTAGGAAGTCAGCCCTTTGCCAGTAAATGTCTGGTCACTAGTGAATGCTGCAGTCTAGGTTCCCCCTTTCATAGGGCCCTCTTTCAACATGCTTTTCTGATAGCCGCTCTTCTAATCTGGGAGTGATGAGCAGCTGCAACCCTAAGGTGGTCATTGTGCATCTGACTGCTGCAAGATGCACCTCCCTCCTGGCTAGGATGTATTTTTAGTTCTGGTTATATCGCCTCTGTTTCTGTGTGTCAGTCTTGTGGAGGTGGCTCAGACTCACATTGTCCCCAGAGTCCACAGTTAACATGATCAGAACTTTTCCCTCCACATTTCTTCCCAAAAGCGACTATGTTTCATCCTCAGCAACGGATAAATCTCCAAAGAGAGGTGGCTTCTATTTCAGGCAGTTATTTATGAATGTGCTGTGCAGCAGCCCATAGTACATCACATATGTGAACATAGATGCCCATGACAGAACTGTTATTGGAGGAGTCTATTGATTTTCACATCAGTAGTCTCCATAGTTGAAGATTGCCCAGCCATCTAGAGTAATCGTGTGCCCTGGAATAGTGTTTCTTTGACTCTGTGTTACCCTTCTTTCCCCTGTCCTAAGAATTCTGCCTCCCTGCTAGCCACATCTCAATATCTGCTGTGTGTTTCTCCCTTCATGCTAGCACTTTAAGCAGTTGGTGGATGAGCTGCAGGCGAAAGGGGTGGGGACCGTCAATAAGGCCGTGCTGGAATCCTTCAAAATCCTCAGGGAGGTAAGAGCATTTTGTGTCAAGGGGTTTACAGAGCATGCTCGCTCCTCCCTCCCTGCCCCCCCCCCACCCTTTCTCCCCATGGCACTGTGCAGCTGGCATCGTGTCAGAAGGGAATTCTAGTGCGCTGACGTGAATGATTTCTGACAGGGCCAAAAGTTGCTGATGAGCCTGTTGGCTGTGACTATGACATGGATGGTGATGGGGATGAAGATGAACTTGGGCAATCTGGCTCTAGGGAGCTGTTTGTGGATTAATTGTTTTTAAATGATCAAACCCATTCTTGTGCCTGAGGAGGAAAGGTAATAAAAGGGGCATAGCCATGGCAAAGGAACGTTGGTAGCAGACAGGGCATAGAGCCATTCGCTATAAAAAATCACCTGTCCACAGGGAAAGGTGACCCCATAGATCAGTGCCTTGAATTTTCCGTAATTAGGTCCCTCGGTGCTGATGCTCAATTCATTCCATTTAATCAGAGCCTGTTACTTCATATTTCAGTGCTGAGCCAATTACTCAGGCCTGAATGCAAGCAATAGATTGATTGCTAGCCAAGTGACAGGAGGGGGGACAGAGACAATCTTCTGAGGAAAAAAAAAGGCTTGAGAGAACATCCTTGCTCCGACTGTAATCACGGAGCCAAATTCAGTTACTCAGGCAAAAACCTCTCTGTGACTCATATGGGAACAGAGTTAGGCCAAGCCCAAGTGTCACTGAAAATCTCATCCTTATTTTCTCCAGCTATCGCATCTCATATTGTCTGGGAGACTAATAGGGTCGAGTTCAGACCTCATGTCCACCAGTGTTAACCAGGAATAATTCCAGGTCTGCCAACAGCAGATAGCAAAGGGGGCAACTGCCCCAGAGCCCCAAAAGGGCCCGGAGCTCCTGGCTTCTGGTGCCACTACTGCAGCAGCGGTAGCAGCTGGAGCTCCAGACCCTTTAAATGGCTGTCGGAGCCCTACAAGGTGCATTCTGGGCAGCAGTGGGGCTACCTTGGGGAGTCACGGCTCTCCAACCGGTGCTGAGCGCTGCATAGCTCCAGCCCTACCTCTTCTGCCTGAGGCCCCTTCCAGGGTGCAGAGCAAGGCCCCCAGCCTTGCTCAGGGGCCCAGTGAGGCTGTCATTCCTCACGGAGTAATTCTACTGACCTCAGTAGAGTTTAACCAGTGAGAGCATACCCTCAATCCGGCCTGTTGTGAAGTTGAATCCATGACCGTATCAAATAGCATATAGAAGCCCACAGTGCAGATTGTGATACAGAGGAATACACTGAAGAAGCTAGTAGTGCTTGTGGTTTCAGTAGGTGTGCGTGTGGCAGTGTTGCTAGCAAATCTAATGATAATGTTGATATGATGCTGCTGGATGTAGTGACATAAAATGTCACCACAGAGAGGATAATATAAATGACAAGATGATAGCTATCATTCTGATAATGAAGGGTATTAGTGAGCAGTGGTAAATGTCACTGTGATTAAGGTATTAGATTGTTTTTACTTCTCAGTTTATTTTTGTATTTAATTTTCCAAAGATCAATACAGTGATTCATATGGAAAATACCACACGTAAAGTAAAACTGTGAGACTTAGCTAAGGTGTTCCAGTCACCTACTATGCCCACGACAGTCATGCAGGACTCATTACATTATGTGAGCAATTGAGATCTCAGTAGTCATGACACAAAAGCATGACTCAGCTTTGTTCCTTAGGGATTGTTTTGAAGGAAATTTAAAAAAGAGAGAAAGTGCCAAGTCCCAGTGAAACCCAATCTCCTAAGTGCACCTGCAGCCCTACAGAATTACTCAGGATGCAGAGTTCTCTGTAAGCCGTGCACTTGTGCAGCTACTCAGGAGACATTCAGATGCCGCCCAGCTGATTAGCAGAGCGCCCTCAGCTAGGTTTGTGGTGCACTTCTGCACATGACTCAGTGAACATAAAATTATTCCACACGTGGATGGAAAAGATTGGAGGGAACGTTGATTGACACGCTTGGGGATGATAAAAATGATGCGATGTAAATGTGATGTAAATATGATGGCGAGGTTAACAGTACCATGTACTAGAGGTGTTGGGATATTTGGCTTGATTTTCTACTCACTGGTTTTGCACCATTATAATCCTATTGGCTATAGTCGAGCTGATCCTGATTCACGCTATAGTGCAAGTGTGATCAGAATCCTGCCCTGCAATAGGATTGTTGGTTATGGTCATTGCTGAGATGATATGGTGGGGTATTGATGCGAATTGTGGTTAGAGCTGTTGTGTGAAAATAGTAATCTGGTGTCATTCTGATGCAGATAATGATATGATGGCAATTACAACATGATGCTTTATGGGAAGAGGAGGATCTAAAAGATTAGGGAAGCAGTAGTGATTTAATCCTAAAATCATTATCTCGGAATTACACATCATTAAAGACAAAGAGTCAGCTCCTCTGTTGAGGTAAATTAGTATATTGAAATTACTGATTTACAACAGAAGAGCATCTGACTCCAAGTGTCTTGTGTGTCCACAAGGCTCTATAATGAGAGTGATTACAAATTGCCAGGGGAGGTTTTGCTCCTTAGCATGGTTGTTTTTAAAATTATAGGTTTTCCATTCCAGTTGAGATCCATTCAATAAAACATCATGAGTCTGGGGTTGCAGAAAAGGCAGAATTGTTCCCAAAATTCTGGGGCAGCTGGGGTTTACTTTGGAATAGTGTAGGTTCAGGAGAAATCCTCAAGAAGTCACTTATACCAAACTGACAGCCTTGGACTGCCGGAGTGGCACAAAGAGCCTGAAGAAAGACTCAGAACCTGGCCTGAATAGGGAAGACCTGTCTGTATCTTAAGCTCCTCAGCCAAGGTTTTCAAAACTAGCTGGTGATCTTTCCTTTTTTAGCCTCAATTTTTGGTGAGCCCTCAGCCTCTGAAAATTAGACCCTTTCAAAATGTCTCACACTAAGTACTCAAAAGTCAAGGCTTGTCACCAGTCACTTTTGACAGTCTTGGTCATTTCTTCTTGCTGACTGAGAATAATGGATACTTTGGGCAGAAAAAAGGAAACTGAGGCTATGCCTATACTTGCGCACCTTACAGCTATGGCTGTGCCACTGCCACAAACAGTGCAGCCATTCTTTGTTGCCCCCAACAAGGAAGACTGGAGAGCGGCTCCCACCAACAAAGCGCTGTCCACAGTGACACTTTTTATCATTAAACTTTTGTCATTCGGGGGGAGGGGTTTTGCATCGCCAAGAGTATGTCTATACTACATGTTTTTCCGAAAAAACTTCATTTACATCTACACTGCAATTGCATTCCTTTGGGAAAAAATTGAAAGAACAGAGGAGTTTTTCTGACATTGGTAAACCTCTTTCTACAAAGAAGAATGCCTTTTCTGAAAGAGCCCTTTTGGAAAAAGGGGTGTGTGGACGGGGACGAGGGAGTTCTTTTGAAAGAAGAGGAAAGAGGAAAAAGCACAGGTGCCCTGGTGGCCACTCCATCCATAGCAATCACAGCTTAAATGCAAGATAGCATCCATTCAGTGTGAACACTATCTTTTGAAAAAGCAGATTGCTTTTTCGATGTGCTTTGGCAGTGTGGGCGCATTCTTTCAGAAGAAGTTTTTTCAGAAGATCTCTTCCGGAAAAGCTTTTTTCCGAAAGAAACCTGCAGTCTAGACATAGCCTGAGTGACAAAAGTTTTCATGATGAAAGTGCAATGTAGATATGGCCTGGGTGTCAGGACTCCTTGGTTCTATTCCTAGCACTTTCACTGATTCTTTGTAACCTTAGCTGTGTCATTTGAATATTCTCTGCTTTGATTTACCCTTATGTAAATTGGGTATAATATTAATTTGCTTCACAGAGTTGATGTAAGGCTTAGTTAAATATCATAAATCCTGGAGTGTAAGGTGCTGTGTAAGTGCCAGATAGTATTGCTGACCTGTGAGGAAATATTTATCTCTCCTAAGCCTCCTGTTCTCTTTAATGGAGATACCTTGCCCAGTACTCTTAATCTTTCCATACAGGACTTATTTCTCTAAACTTTTTATCCTGCCTGTTGCTCTTTCCTGAACTGCCTCTTGTTTAAAAGCTTCAGGGGGTAGCCAAATTAGTCTGTACAGGATAAACTTTAAAAACAACAAATAGTCTAGTAGCACTTTAAAGACTAACAAGATGGTTTATTAAGTGATGGGTCTGGCCCACAAAAGCCCATCACCTAATAAACCATATTGTTAGTCTTTAAAGTGCTATATAGTTCTTTCTTTTGTTTTAACTAGACCAGACTAACACGGCTACATCTCTATCACTATAAAACATGTAGATGGTATCATGAGCTTTCGTGGGCACAGCCAACTTCTTGAGGTGACTAGAGTGTTGGATGTCTAGAACTAAAATAAATAGGGGAGGAGGGAAGAAAAGAATGAAAAAATGGGAGAGGGAGGAGAAGAGGTAGCGGGTATAAAAATATCATGGAGAAAGCCGAGCTGGAATGTAACAGGAAAAACAAATAGTCTATAAACGCTTAAAGACTGGATAGTCAAAAGAGGTTTCTCTGAATGATGCTCCAAATTGAGCAAAGTGTTCCAGTTAAGGCCAACCAGAGCAGAATAATTACCTTGAGTGTCTTACACATAATACACCTCTTAACACATCCCAGTAGAACAGTTACCTTTCTTTCAACGATCTCACATTGTTAATTTATAGCCAATTGAGCTGTCCCTGTGGTTTGCTTTCCTAGCTACAATTCAGTCTCTGTGTTAACAGATCATTTTCTCTTCCTCTGTATGTGTGCCCATGGCTATTCCTTCCTATGTAAACTAATTTATATTTCTTTTCATATGAATCTAATAGGATCAGACACTTAAAGTATGTCTGCATAGCAAAAATAAATCCCATGGCAGCATGTCCCAGAGCATGGGTCTAGACACTCAGGCTAATGCTACGGTGCTAAAAATAGTTGTGTAGTGTTTCAGGCTTGGCCTAGAACTTAGGCTCTGAAACCTACCCTCCTTGCCAGGCTCGCACCCAAGCCCCAAAATCTACACGTCTATATTTAGTACCATATCACAAGGCCTCCATGAGCCCAAATCTCTAGATCTGGGCCTTGACATTTGCTGCCATTGGGTCTTTCTGTTGTGTGGACATGCCCTTAGACTCTGCGAATCCTATGGCTCCTGGCGGCACTGATACTTAGAAGCCGACCAAAGAAAATGGGGAATACCAAAGGTTGCTTTCCTGATCTTGGAAAAGGTATAAGCTGCCCATGGAAAACGAGGTTAGGTGGGAGCTACTGAACACATTTGCTAACACTGACCTAACCCTGAGCTCTTTTCCTAATCTAGAGAAGTCCTTAGTCTCTCAGAACCAGTTTTTCAAGTGGTGGCTATGGGCTGAGTGCTTTGACAGTTAAAAAGGTTTTCCAGAATTTGTTGTTATATCCAGTGTTTCTTACAAAATGTGCTTATTATCCTGTGCTTTTGGCTTATCACACTAGATTACCCCCTGAGCCACAAAGTAATGTATACTAGATCCACTCAAGATTGCATGCACTGCTTACTTTTCTGTTCCACCCACAACTATGAAGACACACACAACAGCAGTTTGTGTTCCCCATCCTCAGGTTAATTGTCTAGAAAGGGGAAGCAGGTTTTACAGGGATGTTATTTAAACAGGCTTTCAAAAGTTTATCTTCCTGGCTAAGCAGGCATTTTCCCAGCCTGCCCTTTGGGAACACCCTCAACACCTCTTTGTCTCCATATGAAATATAGCTTGTAGACTTTCTTACCATAATTATGCTCCATATTAAATATCATTTATTGACATATATCACACCCTCTGTCATGCTCAGTGTACAGCCTTTCCATTTGGTTTGCCTGGAATCTCCATCACTGGAGATATTTAAGAGCAGATTGGACATACACTTGTCAGGGATGATCTAGATGGTGGTTGGTCCTGCTGTAAGGGCAGGGGACTGGACTTGATGACCTCTTGAGGTCCCTTCCAGTTCTATGATTCTGCCCTCCTTTTTTCCCTTATCAGAGTGATTGGCTATGCCACTCACTTGCATTTCATTCAGAGCTGTGCAAAGTGAGTGCCAATGGCTACCCAATCAGGATGGTAATGTTTTACACCCACTCCAGGCCTGCGTATTACAAGAGTTCATGGCAACACACAGTACAGGGCAGTAGGCAACAAGGCCCATTGTACCCAGCTCTTCTTTTTTTTTTCTTGTTATTTTAAATTTTGCAAAGCACCCGAGTATAGCATATGACGAGTGGCAGTGTACTGTGTACATGAAAAATATACAGAGCACCAAGCTCAGGCCTCACTTGGGGAAAACACTCTATAAAGTCATTGGGATTTTTTCCTGGGTAAGAATTCAGTGGAGAGTTCAGGGCCTGGCCTTTTATAAATAAACGCACAGCAGTAGGAATGGTGGCAACACTGAGGATACTAATGCTGCTGTACCTCTCCCTTTGTAGTTCCGAGAGGCTGGGCAAGGAGGCCTGTGTAACCAAGCCATCATGCTGATCACAGACGGAGCTGTGGAGGATTATCAATCTGTGTTTGAAAAGTACAACAGGCCTGACCGTAAGGTTTGTCTCAAAAGGGATGGATTGAGGGGGAGAGGGAGTAGAGGGAAAGTGACCATCCCAGCATGGAGCGAGTAGAAAGCAATGTACCACATGCCCAAATATATGTACTCACATACCCAAACCTCCACATGCTCCCTACTGTAAATACAACACAAAGCAACTAGACAATAGGTTGGGGAGGGTATTAAAAGTGCTGTGATTTTTAAAGGGACACCGGCAGCTCAAGTTTGGTCCAAATGTGTGAGTGTCTGTGTGGGAGGAGAGAGGAGGTTTTTTTTAAAAAAATCAAAAGATAAAGACAATAGAAACGTTCTCCTGGTTTACAAGAGCCAAAAAAAAAGAGCCACGAGCCACCATCAACAAATACAAAACTCAGCCAACCTCCAAACTGAAACATGTTTTATTATCAGATCAATAAATGAACATTTCAATCGAGTATTTGCAATAGAACTGAATGGAAAAGGTTGGGACCTGACCTGCAGACATTTTTGAGATGTCCATATAGTGCCCTGTTATACATAGGGATGGAGCCAAGACTTCCAAGAAAAAAGAGACAGATACCAACTCACTCAAGAATAGTCAATATTCTTCTGGTTAGGGCACTCACCTGGGTGTAGGAGATGCTCTGTCTGATTCAGGCAGATACATGTAGCTGGATATCCCAGAGAACCTGAGAAACCTTTCTTGAGGAAAGTTCACCAGAAATGGAACATTCCCGTGCAAAGTTTCAGTTCAATCTAATCAGCTTTTTCTGACAAAAATCTTTCTTGTCAAAAAATTCCCAACCGGCTCCATTTGCAACTCAGCCGTTATAACCTGGTACTTGAATCAGGACCGGAAACTGAAAAAGAATAAGAATTATTTCTAAGCCAAAGTGACTCAGTTGTTTTCCTTGCTCAAGCTAAAAGAAATGTGCAACAGAATCAAATAGCAGAAAGAACAAAAAGCAAATTGGATTTTTAATGTTGTTTCATTTCCCATAAGCTAAATTGTTATTGGTCACATGGCTGAGGACACTCTGAAAACAGATGGGTTTTTACCAGATAGTATCCCATGAATTGTTTTATGTGACTAAATATTTCCATGCATAAAGAATTTTTATGAGTGGGAAGCTACCTGCATATGGCTCTGTCTGCTACTGTGAAATTAAACAGAATTCTTGCTTCTGGCTTGTTAATCAAACCTTCTCTCTGCAGCTGCTCCCAAAACCCATCCAGTACGTACCAGCTCGGTGTTTAAGAGTTCTTCTCTCAAAATGATCACCCTCCATGTATTACATCTTGGCTGGCTGGGTTAATTATGATTGATAATGTTCTCATGGTACAAGAAAATAATATATCTGTGTAAAGACAAGGTCCTTATTTCTCCACTGTCCTGCAGTGTAGTCATTTACACTTCTGTAACGTCAACCCCGTACCATTCTGATTTGGTAGCATGTTCCGCTTCTTTTTGGCTGACTTGGCACTATTGCAAATGGGAGATAATTTCTGCATAATTCTTACATCTGTATTCTTGTTGCACAGGTCCGGGTTTTCACGTATCTCATTGGAAGGGAAGTCACTTTTGCAGAAAATGTGAAGTGGATAGCTTGCAACAACAAAGGTGATGTCTCTGAATAATTAGCCCACTGTGCACATTGCATGCAGACTGCAACCATGCGTTCTGGGACTGAGTGCTCTTTAGAGCTCATATACTTAAGTTCGTGCTTAGTTAGCACTTGGAAGGGAGATTTCCAATGAAAACTCAGGTGCTGCAAGGAGCGCTTTGGTGCTTCATTGAGGCTCCTTCTTGTTCAGTGTTAAGCCAACTCCCTATCATGGCGTTAAGCAGCACTGTCTCACTGGACATGTTATCTTTTGGTTGAGTGAGAAAACTGTCATCTTTTCCTTTAAAGATTTCATAGCCCTTTTCACAAGAGTAGAAGGTGAATCCCAGAGTCCTGGAGAAATGGCATCATGGCTCCCTAGAATTCTGCCATTGGTTCATTTGGACTCTAGTGTTCCTCACTATCCCTACCTTAAAACTGTGAGGTGCTATTGCTGGTCCAGAATGGCTGCCACCTTACACCCCAAAGTAGGGCTGAATGATTCCTTCCCATATAAGCCTGTAAACCACTTCCTTACACAGATGCACAATGGGGTTGGGATCCATGAGCCGGTTCCAAACATAATATATATGGTTAATGCAGGCACTGCACATAGGTAGCACTACCAGTGGGTGATAGTCTTTTGAACTGGGGAGAAAAGGAAAGGGATGAAGGTGGATGCACTGCTAGCTCTGGGGGAATTAATAATTTCACCTCTCTTTGTATCCAAACTGTCTATACACAGATTGTGAAATGCTTATAGGTATGTGGTGTTTAGATGATTGCCAGTAAATAATTCTTTGTTTATGCATTGTGGATGGTCTGAATTCAAAATTTTTATTGGTTGGCTTCACAAGTGATGTGATATTGTTTCTGTTCCCTGACAAGATGATTTATGAAACTGACAAAAAAATCAGATTTCAATTGAATACTCAAATATAAAATTTGCAGTATGCTGGTTAGTTAGGTTGATTAGTTATATAATTTGAAAGGTGCTTTTGATGAAATAGTCAAGCATTTGAGTTTAAAAATATATTTTCTGTGACTATTCTCACTTCTCATATTTATGCCCTTGCTTATTCACAGAAAGCAAAGACCGAAGGGTCACAAATAGGTTTGAATGGACGCTTTGCTTTCTGAATTCAAATGAACATACCTGAATAATTGAGGAGAGGTCTCTGGGAAAGTGACAGGTTTCTTTTTCTCCATTAAGGCTACTACACCCAGATCTCTACCCTGGCAGATGTTCAAGAGAACGTGATGGAATATCTGCATGTGCTCAGCCGTCCGATGGTCATCAACCATGATCACGACATCATATGGACAGAAGCCTACATGGACAGTGCGGTAAGGACTTTGAGATAAGATTCCAAATAGCAGACAGCAAGGATTAAGTGGTGGAAGGGGACTGGAGAAAGCAGAGCTATGACACCTGGATCTTTGGGAGGATCCTTCAGAAATAGGAACATACTGTAAAAGTGGGAGTCAGCTGATTTGTAGAATGTATGTGCTCTGCACCTGTTTAGACAGACAGTATTTCTTTCTCCTCAATCCTAGAATTGAATCATCTCTGCAGAGTCTCAGGACTCCTTCAGAGTATGCAGCCAGGAACCTAAGGCTAATCACAAATGCACAGCATGACCTATGTAGTGTTTCTTTTCTCCGTTAGCTCAGGATACTTTATAAAGGATTAGTCACAAGAAAGAGATTAGTTACAGCTCAGGATATGGGTCACAGAGATTCCTTTCCTCAGCTCACACCAGGCTGTCACACAAGGAGATAGATCGCAGTTCAAGTGTCAAGCTTGTTCCTTTGCTCTCTGCACTAGCAAAATGTAGGATGATTACAGAGCAAGTGGGCTCAACTCTCGGGGTGAGGGAATCCTCCACAGCCACTGGAAGGGAATTTAATGTAGGTGTGCCCCACAACCTTCTAGTCTCCTTTAACATCCTCCCATTGCTGCTGCAGGCTGGATCCTCTCACTACTCCCACAGCGTTTCTTATGTGGCTGCTGCATTGTCTGTAATTCGAAAGGTGGTAGGCTTCTGGTAGCGGTAATGGCCTGAGAAGTTCTGGAGATAAGGATGCCACAGCAGTGTGCCTGTAAGATCAAGAGAGAATGAAGAGAGAAACTAAGAGGAGTGGGATATGAATGACCTCTTCTTCCACCCTTCCTCAAGCAAATACAATTGCTTTCCTTAGTCATTTTCCTGACTTTTTGTTTTTGGGGTTTTTTTTGTTTGTTTGTTTTTATTTTTTGGCCTAGAAAGGGCAACCCACTTCCGCTTTTGGTGATCCTAGCACCTTCATGCAGGAGATTCTGGGTTTGATGTTTTCTTCCTCTATGAGCATTCTCCACTACAGCATAGGAGGAACAGTGCTTTCTCCAGAAGCTTCCCAGACACCACCTCTAATGAGGGTAGGTGCCCCTAGAAAAGAGCCTAATACACTCTGATGCCAAAGAGGTGTCAGAAGAGGGAAAGGTGTTGAGAGGGTTCAGACTGTGACCTAAGAAGTATGATCCAGAGCAATAGAGCAGGAAATCGAGCTGTTTAAAAAGGACAGATATTTAGTTCCCTCAATGCATTAACCTGTGTCCACTTTAGCAATGCTGGTTTTATTCCATTTTCATG